ATGTACATGTACATGTACCTGTGTATGAAAACAGTCTCAGCCTCTCACCCATTGCACACATGGGTCCAAGTACAAGTTGATGTTAAAAGCTAAAAGCAACTCTGCCAGCATTTGAAAGCACAAGATTTTACAATAGTCCACGTGCGGCAAGCTCGTTATTGAATTCAGAGAAGGAACTTTCTCAAGAAAACTTGCACGTGCTTCAAAAAGTCTTCAAACAGTTTTTGCCCCACACAAGGTATTAGCTTTTCATCCATAACCAAAGTAACCCTGCATTGTTCACACTGAAACCATTCACCCTTTTCTTGTCTTCCAGTGATTCAGTGATATGTACAGGTCACCATTTGCTTAATTTGACAAACAAATACCTTAAAAATGGTACGCACCTGCATGAAAACAAGGTTTAGAGTTGAAGCAGAAACACCCGGGTCCATACCCACAACTGTAAAGACAAAAATCAAGAGAAGATAAGTACTGTTCTATCCAGAAATGAATAGCAGGAGTGATTAAATCCTTTTTTTCAAACCCAAAGAAATGTAGGCTTAGTTTAATACTCGGGTGAAAGAACAGCAAGAAACAACATGTTTTCCAATTGTAGAGTTTCATTTTCCAAAAGAATGAAAACAATTCGCAGTGCTGCCAAACTGTCATTATAGGAAAGTGTGCATTGCATCATGGGAAAAACTAGGCAACGTGTGACTCCATAAGTGAGCATTGACATAAGGCTCTCCATCATTGTACATATACCTTTAAGAGTATAATAAGATGGGATGGAATGAACAACAAATGACATGCTACGATGCACGGAAAATGCTGCCTTTCCGTTACCACCACTAACCTGACCAGGGTAAGCTGACAGGTTCAAATCCAGTAATGCAATGATGAATGTGTTGGCCTATTTAATATCTTTTTTCCACAAATGTAAATCTAACATTGGTTTTTGATTCTAAAAAACATTGCCCAAATGTTGGTGAGCAAAATGAAACACACAATCTTCAATCGTGTAGGACTCAATCCCTCTGCATGCAATAAATGCAAACCTCGTAAACAGCCAATCAGCAAGCTTAGAGGTCATGTGGCCATTTTCACAATGCCTGATTCACAATATTCCTTCAACAAACATTTATGTTCTTGAGTCTCTGGCCGTGTCCAAAACAGGCTTCCAGAACTACAGCTAGGTCTATTGTGTGCGCTGCACCATGCATTTCTAATGGAGACGCTCTAGCTCTAGACAAGAGATTCGGATGCAGCCTCTGCTAGATTTCGCATCGTATTGAGCCCTGCCTATTGATGACCTGTCCAGGGTGCCCTACAAGCAGACTGGTTAAAAAGTGTCCACTAGTCTCAGTGTCCACCTGTCTCAGCTAGTGTGTATTCTAGGCCGTGTCCGAAGCAGGCTTCCAGAGCTACGACTAGGTCTATTGTTTGCGCGTCTCCAAGCATTTCCAATGGAGCGAAGACCTAGACCTAGCTCTAGAAAAGAGATTTGGATGCAGCCCTAGTGTCAGATGTTTCCATGCTAGAATCAATAAGAATCAATTTCAAACTTGGAATTGGAATCACAATTCCCATGTTTTCAGGAATCGGTTCCCAACGGTGGACAATTCTGTTTCCCCGAGACTGAATTCAAAATAGTAACAAATACAGAAGAGGCGGCAAAGGTTTACACCTGATCTCCTAAAACTGTGTGCTATTCCAATAAAACTTCAACTTTCGAGTTAGATGCTTCAAAAATAAGCAACTGTGTTCTTTGGCGATCGATTAAATGTCTTTTTCAATTCTACTGCACATATAACAATTTTGTATCAATCCTCAATGCAGGTGGCATTATTTCATATTTTCATTCCTGGATGATCCCATTAAACCACACAATGGAAAAATAAGTTATACAAAGTTCTCGATCAAATCTGTGCAATGATGTGATTGGTTGTCACGCACGTACCTGGAGAAATGCTGGTTATTGTTCCTACGTAGCCAGTTTCCTCCTTCAGTTCTCGTATTGCTGCTTCGGACACTGTCTCCTCACTGTCCACCAAACCTGACAAGCAGAAAGATGAAGTGTAAATTGATGGCCGTGCTGTACCTTGTACATTTCATCCAGGCCTTCACATGAAAAAGGGAGTGTTGACATGATTGGAGTACAGCAACACTGACTTCACACTTGAAGTCAGGTGGTGTTCACCAGGTCCTCACACTGGTACTGTCGCCCATCGTTGTGGCAACCAAAAAGTGTTGAACAGTAGTTACTATGGGGACGTACTTAACTCCTGAGAGTCTGAAGTCCGCACCTGATTTTTCTAACAAACCAGCCCCTCAACAAAGCTCTTGCCAAGTCAAATGTATTTTTGTGTACACATACTGACAAAATGTATATTTCTCATACTTGAAGAGAACTTCAAAGGCTCACCTTTGCACCCCTTTTAACCAAATGTTCAGTTTTTGGTGCCGTTTTTGAAGGGTACTTGGTGCCTTTATGGTTTAATGCTGATGCAAACAGCAGTATTCCTGGGCAAAGCTATGATGTCATCCTGGTACAGATGCCTCAAAAACGTTCCAGCACCCAAAGTAGCATGAATTTAGGATATTTTGCTGCTGTAAGTTTTCTTTTCATTGATAATTCACCATGTGGGTCAATGACCAACCCTTCCTAACAAATGATTTCAATAAGTTACTTTACACACACTGTCGCAGCAAGGAATTGAATGAGGGCAAGGCATCATGATCCCATGCTGAGGTACTGTGTCAAATAGCCAGGTGGACTTTGCCTAAATCGAAACTGCAGGGAATTCTATTATGCAAGACCTTATAGACAGCATGTACTGCTGCACCAGCACCAAACAGTCGTAGAGCAATGACCGTGTGAGAACGGTAATCATCCCAACCACTGCGGGACAAAATGAAAGTTGAGAGGCATTCTCACCTGCCGGGAACTCGATTGTGCAACACCTGAGTGGCGGCCTGAACTGCCGGACCAATAAAATGGAGTCGTAGTGCAGTAACCGCTTCACGGTGGTTGCCATGGCAACCGCTGTTTAAAACATCAACATCGTAAACTCTTTTAGAAGAGAGAAATGCATGTGTAATACGATGCACACACTCTACTAAATCCAGAAAATTTCACGTTAATTTACTGTACATCTATCCCCCACAGATTCTGTCTTCTGATTGGTCGAGAGCGTGCTGCTTAGTGCAGTGCATTTGCTGTTACCATTTTTACCATGCACTCCAAAACACAAAGGTTATGACATGGCAGCCTCTTTCTGAAAATTACATCGCCCATAGTGATATCTGTAGGCAAAGCCTGCCAAAAAAAAAGCTAGAGCTGGGAGTACGCCTGGTCGATGTCTTTCCTAACTGATACAAACAGAGACGGCACTGAGTTTTGCTAGACCAGGTCCATACAAACAAGCTGTTGGCATGATGAACATACAACAATGTCTTTGTTGATTTATAGCAGCATGCATTTTGCCCATTTTCTCCCTTTTAACTAAAAATGATGCTCTAACTGTCAAAATTGGTTGACTGTAAACAAAATACATTGAACTGCAATATCAGCTTGGCTGAGAGACTTTCAAACCACAACTTACTTTACAGCTTAGCTAGGAACTTTTCAAAGTCTGGGTCTGAGTCCGACATTCATGCGCAATCTTTGCACTTGATGAAGGGAACTGTTCACACGCTCGGATGTGCACTCCTGAAGCCACCTTAAGTTAGAAGATTATCATGGTCTCAGGGTGCACCAAAGTCAGGCTTTTCATTATGTAGAAGAGAATGTTGTGGAAAGAGACAATCATGCAAGTAGGGGGGCTGGCCTACCGTCAGCTACTCCTGCCCTCTGAGGTTTGGTGGTTCTCTCAACAACTTCCCAAGTCCGTACTTTCCCCTTGGGGTCCTTGTATGTAATCCTCTCCAGAGACAGCCATTTCTCTCGGTGAATGGTCTGGTGAAATTCAACAACATACATGTAAAATGCACAATACTAAATCGGATTATGATTTATGCAGCAATGACCCGTCCAGGAGAAAGGGCTGAGTCAATTCGAATAATTTACTATTCGAATAGTCGACCTTCAATTCGATTGAATATCCGAATATTTGGTCGTACCGACTGGCAGTTCATTGAGGAACAGACCATATACAAAATCAGTTGCAATAATGCACACAGTTGTACATTATAATCACTGAAATAGCTTCTCACTTCGAGTATCTCCAGCCACGATTTAGCAAGATTTAATCCTGTCCTGTTGAAATTGTATATTCCTTTTCAATTTTTTAATAATGTAACTTTTGAATCGTAAGGTTTGTCGCTTGCCATTTGAATCTGCTTCGAACAAGCCTCCATAGAGCAATTTTTCTCATTTAAAACAAAAAAAATTCTCCCTCCCTTTCCATGAATTTTGCATTCAAATATTCAAATTTGAAAAATAATATTCAAATATTTGATATTCAATCAAATATTCAGTTATTTGGATATTCAGCACAGCCTTACCAGGAGACACTAATGTCAATTTTTAAGTCGGAGAAGGAGGCCACATAGAACGATGTGCATCACATGTATATCCTACATATTTCTACTTCAATTCTTCAGTGGTTTGATTCTCAATTTCCCATGTCATGTCTCTTCAGCGTAAATGTGGTGTTTTAGATAGAATGAAGTATAAACATTTAGGATATGCCCATGACGCACCTCGTTCTACGACTTTTCTTAGGCACTTTCCAACTGTAACTTTATTCCCATATTCGATATAAAAGTGCTGCTTAAAATTGGAATTTTAACCTGTTTTCAGCATCAGAGAACCCATGAATTTCTTTATAAAACACCTACAATGAGCCATCGGCAGATTCCAGATGTTTTCCAGGGAAAAGTAAAAAAAGATAACCTTAGAAATTTCCAACCTCTTGTTTGATGAACTCTGCTTTCTGTTTCTGGGCATCATCATTCACTGACGATGAGCTGGTGCCTTCGGTTGACATCTCTGAAGATGTTAGTCGGCGTGCCAGAGAGCCGGACAGGAAACTGGCAGTACCCTTCGACTGTTGGGGAATCAGTACAGAGACCTGGCCCAACAACCTGCAGAACAAGATTGGCATCAAGAATACTAATAACCTCTGATACGATACCGTATAACATGGATTAGGCAAACGTACATGTAACTTTCAGCTTCGGCATCTAACTTTGTACACTGCTCTGGTATACAGTATGTTGAGTTCATTTCTCAGTGTGTCAGGCCTGTCTTAATTATTTTCTCCTTTTTTTGTCTTTTTTTGAACTGGCCTACACAGCTGGCATAGATACCATATAATTATCATATTCACCTGTTGTGACTGCGTGAGTGCATGGTCGAGGAGTTTTCGCACGTGGCACTGACCCCATCAGAACACGATGGCGTGTGTTCCAATGGCAGTACAGTCTGTTTCAAGCATAAATGCCATAAACAAATTTGTTTTCCACCCCCCCCCTTTCCCAAAGTTGCAATATTGTCCATTTCACTGTTTTTAAGTCTAATCTCAATGAAATTGCATTACATTTTACTTTTCATTTGTGATCCCATCTCTGGATGATTTTTTTTTCGGGGGGGAGGTGAAGTCCCTAATTGCACTTAAAAACTGAATTATGAATACATGACATCATGGAATATGAATTCACAGCGACAATCCAGCCAAAGATCTGTTGAGGTCAAATTTCAAAGTACCCAAAACCACTCACTGCACAGACGTGTGTATTTTTGGTTGGTGGCACAACAGCAACATATGGGCTGACTCATGGTCAAACATCCACTGCCTGTATAACACTAAGTATGCATATTGCCTTTAACTGGTCACGTCTGTTGGTTAAATAGACTGCACTGCACTGACACCATTAAGGTATTATGTTCCTCTCTCCTACAATACATGTACAGGACCCAGTTGTTAGCACATGGGATTCACAAAAGGAACCACAATGTTAAGGTTTGAGGCCAGCAGGTGATTTTTCCTGTTTTCTCTACCCGATAAATTGCAATTGAAGATTTATTTTATTGGTTTTTTTTTTAATCCACTTGCTTGTACAAATTGCCAATTTCAATACTGTCTATACAATGTATAGAACAGATTCATGCCCAACAACCAAGGCCATGATTGACAGTGGCCACCTGGCTGGGAAAACCCAACCCTCTATGTAGCTCATCTGGGGAAAGAATTCCATTTATGGATACTGGTTGACACCCCATGGATGGATGAAACTGGTCTGAAATATTCTAACATGCGTAAGTGTTTTCTCATTATTTTACGCTGCTACATTTGACATTTTAGAACATGTTGTTGCTTTAAGATGGTTAATAGCAAAGATCGTAAAGCGCCAAAGGCGCAAGATGGATAGCTCTGCCCAAAGGGTGTAATTACCATGGGCGCCATTTGAGCAAACGATACGCCTGCGCAGTTTACAGTAATGCTTAGGTGCAGGCTCACAAGGTGCACGTGCCTGCCACGGCGCCTGCGCCTTTGCATTAATGTGCTTTGCGCAGGCGTATCGCTTGCTCAAATGGCACCCATGCGATTACAACGTTTTACGTGTATTCACTATTAAATTCACCATCTTGCGCCGCTTCGCGGCGCTATACGATCTTTGGTTAACAGGTCACTGCAGGGAAAATTCATGGTGTCCATATATATGGAATTCTTGGTCTTACTTACCTTTAGCACACTGTTACTACCATCAGGAAAAAAGTCTACTTTTAACAACTGACTTTTTAATTTGGATTTTTGCCCTGTCCGACGTAACACGGTATACATGTACTTCGGGGGAAACACTGACCAAACTTAAAAGTTGACATCTCCCCGACAAAAAATCCATCCTTGGAAATAACTGACATTTTGACCTTGAGCATTCATTCCTTATTTCCAACAGCTCTAGTTTAACCAAATTTCGACACTATTTACATGTAAGTAAAAAACTACAATTTTCGGTGGTGAACAACCACCACTTTGTCAGATCATGCCATTTTGTTTCAAATCAGCTAATGATAGAGGCACTTCACCGAGAGTCTGGTTATCAGACCCAGCCACTGTGAATACTACATGATGTAAGTTTCATCGAGGTTAAGATACCAGATTACATTTGCTTGCTACATTGTAATTATCTTTGTTCACACCTTTTCATCATGTACTCCTGTACACGTTAATCTACAGGGGCATGTTACACCAAAATTTCTCTCAAATATCAAAGCCTTGTCTTCTTTTACAAACATAATCTTTCTGACATGTCTGATATGAAAGAGGACATCATGGCCAACTGATCTACATGTCATGCATGTTATCATTATTCATTTCTGGTAATGACACCAAGGATTCCTCAATTTCTCAAAAGTGCCATATGCACTGACCACTGTACATGTAGCTCACAAGCCTGAAGAAACCTGTAGATAGGAGATAATGAGAAGCAGTTACAGTTTTAGAGGTGGGAGGCAAACCCCAGAGGGATATTATGGGTAAAACCCAGGGAATCAGGTAGGGACTGAAAACCCAATCCATATATGTGGGCCAGGATTCGAACCTGGGACCGCAGAGGTGGAAGGCGAGGAAAGTACCACTACGCCAACCTGACTCCCCTGTAGGAGAGTTGTTTGGTAAATATAGACTTTGTGTCCTTATTAAACTTCCAGGAAAAGGGTGCTGAACGTAAGGAACACTGAATTCTTCCCCTCATCCAGGTTTTCTAAACTAGACAAAGACCGGGTCATGGATTGTTTTTCTTTCATTCTGTACTCTAGCAGAACTGGGTGGTTCACCATCCGCTGCGCTCCAACTGTGGACAGTGAACCACACAGCTCTGGGGGTATTTATCCTATACATGTACATGTACAGTACACACTTTTGAAACCTAACTGGAACAGAGTTCCGCCATACACAGACATTGCTTGATACCATGTGCACTAACTCTACTAAGCGGAGCGTTCGTAGTCCTCTTTTACAATTTTGGACGTGATCGTCATACATGTACTAACGCTCCATGACATTACATAGGGTAAGGTGAATAAGGTTCTCAAAAATTCCAAACACTCACCAAAAATACCTCTATCACATACATGTACGTCTTTGGGGGACCATGTTCGCTTGTAGAGTTACTGGCCAGAAAAACTACACGCCCATTATTTGAATGCGAGGAGGCAGCGAAAAGTTTAAGTGCTATGTGTGTGTCGAGCAAAACGGTCGGATTTTGACAGATTTTGCAGTCAGAAATATTATTGACGTTGACATATACGGAAGCCAGGAGGTGGTTATAGAGGTATTTTTGGTGAGTCTTTAGAATTTTTCACCTTATTCTATGAAATGTCATGGAGTGTTAGTATGACGATCCCGTCCAAAATCGTAACAGAGGAATACTAACAATCCACTTAAGCAGAGCTACCTGTGCACAAACCCTAGTCTGGTATGGAAAAACTTGACTCCAAGTTGTTTCTAAAGGCAGACCTAGGTAAACATGTATGATTTGTACTTTGTAGAAAATGTTACTGGTTTCTGACAACTGATAGTGATAAACATGGCAGGGGAAAATTGGTGAAGAGACTCAGAAGTCAGTGTAGGCCTAGGCCCAAGTGCCTATGCCATGGCACTCTTTCCCATAGGCTAACTAAACAAAAATAAACCGATCTGATGGTGTGCGCATAGAGTTCATGTTTGCACATGGTTTTGTCCTGCTCAGAACTATTTTGTAACGTAAGCCTACCATGCCTAACCATGCCTACCACTTCCTACGTTATACTGCACTGCCCAAACAGGCTGATCTAGATCTCTACAGCTCTGTTTATCCTGGAAACCCCAATCATCATGATCATACCTCCATGATCATACTCATTCACAGAGGATGGAAAACATGTGAAACAAATGACATAAGGCTACTTCATTCTCAAAACTAACTAACATCGGTTTACCTTGTGACCCTCCAAGCCAGAGTGAACTTTTACCTACGGAAAAGAAACAAAATGTAAAATGTGGGCTGCTGCCACATGCTCCTTTATCGCGCACTACGCCCAAGACTCACCCTCTGTAAACCAAGCTATATTTGAAAATTCAAAGTAGGGCATCCGACTATTAAGTAAGTTCGTAGTACTAGTAGCAGCGCCATCATCGGACAAGATTGCAAAATAACCAGTCATTTGTGAGCACGTGCTGTGCTGAACTGGGAAATTTGTATACATGTACTGTACATGTACGTACGAGCAGGCTACGTAACAGAAGCTAACGCTAACAGACTTAGACCATGGAGCCATGCTCAGACCGTGCTCAGACGGAGGCGATCCTTCTAAGAGTTTACGCGAGAAATTTTAAGGTAAGAGTAGTCAGATATAACGCACGGAGCGTAGACCCATGATTTTTAGTCTACTGAGTTTCAGAGGGCTCCCACCAAGGTTCACCGTGATGAACTCGTGAACTGGTGCGGTTGGCAGTTCTTCATCACTCTGTTCCTTGCTCTATGGTTTTACAAACCACTCAACACCCCCTCCATTTCGTAGCAACTTTCATAGCTTATTATACAACGAAACATGTTCAGGTAGACCCCAATTAAGAGGGAATAAATCCTAGCTTTGATATGGCTGAATTGCCATGAACGCACCGACAGTATGCAGATCGATTGCGACTGCTAGGATCAGGCGTCCTGCCTGATAACCGCCGCTGCTCAAAGACAAGGACGTTAATTGAAATTGTTTGTTACATTCCACACTGGTACGGTCGTAATAACATGCCTGCATATTTCTTTATGTAGCTATCAGCCCGTATTTCTCGCATGCATCGGCGATCCGAAACTGTATAACTATAAGCAAGTGTAGGCCTAATAGCAATTTTTTTCGGCGAGTGGGACAGTTGTTCAGTTAATTGAAATTCCAATCGTATTTTACAATGTGACACCATGGCTATTTTACTAGACAACCGTTAAATGTTGGCAGCACAGGCGAACACAAAACCAGAGCTATGACTTTTTGTTCACCCGGAAGTTTCTCCAGCGACATCGTGGATAATGCTTAGGCGACAAAAATTCTATTCTTACGATGCAAAATAATGGATATAAATAATTTAAATAAAACTCTAAAACATTGTCGAGGCCGATAGATCCTTAAGTTGGTGATTATTTGTAATGTCTAGAACAGTCGCACCACATTATGCTTTTTGAATGCAGTGGTATAGTGTATGATCGATTCAGCGAGAGTATTGTGCCACGAACTCCTATAGTTCTGCATGCTGTCATCTATACCTGTGTAAAAATTTGTTTTGCTGATGCGCTGCGAAAGTATTTTCAGTGCATTTAAACTGCCATAGACAAGGGAAAACAACCTTTCCCTCAGTACGTTTTCACTACTGTACTTACACTAAGAAACAAAATTTTAATGTTTAAAGAAAAGTCAAACATACATAAAAGCTCAGGGCAAGTCAAACAAAATGGAGATTAATCATTAGCAGGTCACTGTGCCGGAATGGCTTTTGGAATCTTCATTTGATAAGCCTGTTGACTTGAGTTGAGAATGGCTTGCAACACTTGGCTTGAGAATTTTCGAAGAGTAGCTCAAACCATAAAATATAGGCCTGTGCTGCTGTAAGGAACGGTCAGGATTAGTTTCACCAAGTAGCTTTTCTCGTTGTGAGTGCATAAATGTCTCAGCAGAGATCAGCATGATTCCTCAGTGCTTTGTGTGTAAAGAATATGAGAAGCAAAATACATGTACATTCTGGATAAACTTGTGGTAACGAGAAAAACAAGCAAGCGGGTTCGTTTTTCTGTTCTGGTCTTATTTGCTTTTATTAATCAATGCAATTAACAGCTGTGTTATTTTCAGCTGACAATATTTCACAAGGAACGGCTTTTTGTAACATTAAGCGTGCGCTTTTGGTTGGTTGTCACAGACGAGTCTGTTGCCAATAGCGTTTTTCTTGTGCACACGTCCCTCTTGTAGCGCCCCCATCAATTTTTTTTTCTTGTTTTAGGTCGAGTTCGAGTTGCCTGTTCTTGACACGGGTTTCTTGTTCCCGCACTCGAACGGTGGGAACACGACTCAAGAACACTGTTCTCTAAACAGGATCACACACCACCTCCTCGTCAGGGTTTAACAGGAACACACAGAAAAACTCGTGAGGTTTTGATTTTTGAACAACTGCAAAAAGAAGAGAGATGACTTACAAAGCTAGAGACAACAGGAAGTTTTGCAAAATTAATATCGATAATTTCCCGTAACATAAAAAAAGAAAGTTCCTGGTTAAATATAAAAGAATTCAACCTAGTTATCCAAACATTAACTCTCGAATAACGTACATGGACGCCGCCATATTGAATGTTACTTGTCACTGTCAGCGACAACCGGTTGTATGTTCCCGGCGTTCGAGCGGCTGACCCAAGAACAACGAATCAAGCTGTTCGTGAACATTCGAGAACAAGCCGCCCGAACTCAGCCTAATACTCCAGAGTCCAAATCGATCTCTCATGGACAAAACTTGATTCCTCTAAATCCCTCGATCAAAATGAAGTGAGCTACAGTTTGTCTGTATTGCTGAACAGAAACAGTTGCTGATAATAAATGATCGAAACGAAGATGATATAATGCTTGGAAAAAAGTTAAAGAATTCGGAATCGAGGGCGCTGTTGATGGATACTTGGCCCACAGTTTACAAAGCGAGTTTGACGTCACACAACATTTGCAGCGAAATTCGTTGGGTTGAAGTTTCTTCATTTTTTGCGAATTCGCGGAACGAATAATTGATCTAAAGTCATACTCTCGCGTTCGGGTTCACTTTCGCACCAAGTACAAAACAGCCTTTTAATAACCTCGCTGAATGGGCCAATTACAGGGGCCTATGTCAATGGTCATTAATAACTCGTGCAGTCTAATCTATTTGAAGACAGTCGTGTCCTAGGATGGATTGTAAGCGCCGCTGTCACTGCAGTGGCTTCACCGTACGGAAACCTGTACTCGTTTTAAGAGAGCGCTTCCGCTATGATGGTTGGCAATGTGTGTCTTTGTTGTGAATGGGTGGTTGAGGGGCCCACTGAACGTTGGTGTCTCACCTCACATCGTGAAACTTGTTTGCCTACCATTACCAAGAGTGAAAATACATCCAAATGATTTGGAGTGGCTCAAGTTATAATTCTTGAGCCGAAATATCCATTAGCATAGGATGAAATATCGGACTGCTTTTCTGATGCAGTGGTTTTAGTGTTTGACGTGTAAGGGGATATCACAGCTGCGTGATACTTGGAACGTGTTTTAAATTTTCATTGTGTATCACATACAACCCTATATATGAATGAAAAAGACCATTCATCCTTTTAACTTAAGCAAGTTCATATCTTTATGTACCCCGAGCGCGACCAAGAGAGAGCACAATTTACCTAGCAACGGAGGCTCCTCTGGTAGGACCTGCACTTCGCTGGTTGACAAACGACTATTAAATGCGTGCGTTGCGGTCGCGCAGCTACCAACAAAAATGAACACCTCCGACCAATATGGCTCGTTTTCAACCATCAGTGAGGGGGGATGTTTCTGCTGAAGGTAGATAATGGCGCTCCATACACTAATATGATTTAACAGCTAGTCGAGTGAGATTCACGATGCTTAGCCCTAAATGTTTCACGTATAAATAGGACCCACTTTTTTCGTGTCCCCCTTAAGAGACATGTGAAATATGTCTGAGAAATAGCAAAGATTGTAGCTTCAATGGAATAATACGTCACCTTTTAATTAAATGCTCCACTTGATAAAACTGTGAAATTACAACAAAGATTGCAAGCTTGGAACCTTTTTAGGGGATCATCTCTACGTAAGAGAGACTCTGATGTTTTCCGCCAAGCATTTATGCACAGAAGAATTATACTAAGCAAGTTATTTTCACAATAAACATTGATGAGCTATCCTCGGGAGGACAGAAAATACATTTTAGAATAGAAACACCACGTTGAGTATGAATCACCCCCCAAAAGGCAGAAAACATTACAGTCTGTTTTTGACGGTATCTGTTGACCCTCTAAAATAATGTTGACAAATCAGCCGCAGACATTTTCAACTTAAATTTGCAAACTGAAAAAACTGCTTTCATACCCTGCTGTGATAAAGTCTTTTTCAGACAACATTTCAATGCATTTGCCAGCCAACGTGTGTATTGTTTTCATCATTATAATGATCACGTTCGTCAACTTTAATTGTGCCGTTTCGAAATGTCGCAATACCCCCAGTTGTAGCAACCGAATTCGCGGACTGTATTAATGAGCCTCTGCTCGGTACAGTCAGTCAGTGCACGCTGCTTGCACAGGTGTTTAGCATAAAGTCATTAATCATGGCTAACGAGTCAGAGCAAGATCCGCTCCTCGTCATTTTTCAAAAGGAAAGGCTGGATTACCTCGAGAGGAAAGCCATGTTCATTTTTTTGTGTGAACGAGAGTCAGGTTAGCTACAGTGTCGCTTACTTCAATCATGCTCGGATTCTAATCGCATTAATCTCGAAGGTGTGAACGTTAATCGCTGTTGTGTAAATAGGCCTACTCTGAATGTTAATTTTAGTTCAGTAGAAATGTTTTCTTTTCGTGGTGTGCATAATGAAGGAATAAAGGCATCTCTAGACTCTACTGTGGATATGCATGCATCACCACGATTGTTTTTACGAAAGGATGAACAAATTCTGACCCTATTCAGGCACCCTATAATTGGTGCTTGACCTTGTGCTCAATTTTGAAGATTTTGTCCAGCAAGCACCGAGTGTCTCTAACGACATGTAATTCATAAAAGGGATGTGATTTTCCCGCTGTCATTCAGTGAAGTGGTAATTTGTTGACCGCACAACGTGATATCTTTTGTATCCAACTGCAAACGTTGGAATTATCTGTGACCCTCGTCAAGTTCTGTTAAACCAACCAATCAAGGCGGTCCATTTCCGCACTAGCCATTAATAGAAGAATTGCACCTCCTTAGAAGAATAGCTACCTTCTTGTGATTTGGAATGCCCTTGGCAAGCCGTAGTGAATTTCTTTGTCCGATACGTCTACATTTGAGAATGTACTTGTAGGTTAAATCTTTGCGAAAAATCCACACAGACACCGTCATCTCTCATCATGAATAATGTTAACTGGCAGTGTTCAGCACGCGAACACCACATACGCCTCACTTGGCGCAACAAATCATAATTGCTCGTAAATTTCACAAGTGGTTGGCTCCGCTGAGCACCTCCGATCTACAATGGATCGTTCCGATCCCTGACCTTAATGTTTCACTCCCAGAAGGGAAGAGGGGAGGAGAGAGCACAGGCAATTTCCTCTGCAAGCATCACGCAGCACTATACGGATCACATCCCATGCCGGGATGATGGTCCGCGGTCTGCATAATGCGCCCTGAATACAACGCCGCCTCATTACCATGCGTGGTCATGACACGACGGCGTATTTTTCGCGGTTGCCCTTGATGCATCGCATTGCAGCATCATGCCTGCTGATGAGGAGTGCATCTCTCGCCAAGAAGGAAGATGGCTGCACTGATGACTAGCACTGACGGCAAGGGAGGAGAAAGGGGAGGAGGGCATTACCGTGGATAGCGCAGCTACTTAAGACGCCATTGGGAGATTGCCGAGAGATGCTCCTTCTTGAATGCCAAGGAAGTGGATTTATTTTATGACTTGCATTTACGGAAGTGTACGTTCACTCGCCTCGGTGGTCCATGTGTCGTTTCCGCGCGCATACCGTTCGGATGTGTAACACAGGTGGTCGTAAGTGTGCTCTTGCCTGCCCCAAAACTAGAGGGAAATGTTAGCCCGATCTTCTCCATCTAAGTTGAAGATTGCCACTGTATTGAGTTTCTGATGTTCGAGCCGTGCGGCGCTGATGCTGCATCCATTGACTAATTACACTCTTGCGGCACTACCGCCCAGTCAAACGATTGCGTTTGCTGATTGCCCAATGGTTGGAGCTCATTGCTTCGTTTTGAATAGTGTTTCTTTACGTGATTATTGGCGTCGCCATTAATTTTGAACCACTGCTGAGAATATCGAGAGGACCTGATCCAATGAACAAGGGAGGTTGGATTTAAGTATCTTATAAATAGCCTTTTTCAATACTCTTCACCTCACACGCCTTCATTTTACAAAACTTCGCGTTGCCTCCGTCCACAATGAGCCTTTGCGTCTGAAACACGCAATGGTCGTCGGGCCGAGCCTGACAGCATGGGCAACCTGAGCAGTCAGGAGGACGACAGCTACTACACCGACGACTCTTTGAGTGTGATGTCCGAACAGTCGGCCAGGATGCGGCCAACCCGGAGGGGCAATAACATTCCGATTGAGCCCCCGGAGGCCGACCTGAGCCACCTAACAGAGCAGGAAAGGGCGCATATCTTGTCTGTCTTGGCCAGGGCTAGAGACTTACAGGCGAGGGATGAAAGACGTGTCAGGTTAGTTTAAAAAGGAAAGAAAAAGAATGGAAAGATGAAAAACAAAAATGCTATTCAACTTTAAAATTTTGGTCCAACACCAAAAGCCTATACAACCACCACTCAGATGCTCCATGTTGTGGAAGATACCACATCATACCACGAAGGTCAAAAGTACTGAGGAACTTACTGCCTTTTCCGGTTTTAGTCTAGGAAGACATCGCCCGAGTCAACAGAAATAAAAGCGAACCTTTCGATGACAAAGCCTCATGCAGAGGACGTTGCCTGCGCGTAAGTCCTCATCAATATTAGAACACGACACCGTGCATCGGTTAATGTAAAGCCAGTGAGCCAATTGCATTACGTACGAAGTGGTATACATGTATTTTGAATTTTTGTAGAATTCGATGTATCAAATTCATGACAAATATGAATTTAACTATACTTAAACAGGCAACTAATTGCTAATAACCCATCGTACTTCGAGACACTCCGTAAACAAGGCCTCCCAACCTGACATATTTCTTACGCTTAACTGTATACTTTTGTCTTCGAAATAACTATTGAAATCAAGATAATCAGCGGTACTCAAGTATACCTCGTATAATATTGTACCAAGGCTTTTTGTCTGTCACCGTTTCTACCGTGTATAGAAAGTTTGAGCTAATAAGAAAAGTGCACCTTCCAACTCCGTGTCGGTACCTCTGCGTTAGAGTAAATAACACGTCCTCTGCCTGCTCAACTGAAGGACATGTATTTTAACACGAGAGTACGTGCGTTTCTAACCGGGTTTGGCTTGTTTTGCCCATGAAGTCTAGCTGTCCCAATTGCCAGTTTATTATCACAGAGAAAGAAAAAGAAGGAAAGTTGCGTCAAATAAGCATAATTATTAGCAAGGTGTTAGTAGAGTAACATCATGCAAATAGTAAGTATAAGATTAATGATGTGGTATTCATTAATTATTCGGCAGGCGTAAAGCGTATTACTGCTCGATGTCATATTAAAAACTTGCGAGCACTCGGGTTCAGTTTCGCGACATTATATAGTAATAATTATGCAAAGTCAGCCAAGAATGTTCAACTTTGTCACGGTAAATTAGCTTTTCCGCTATATTGAAAAAAAACCTGCAGCTTTTTGTCTGTTTTTGCTTTGTTATTGCTTTTTCTATCTGTCTTCTTTTGTTTGCTTTTGGGGTGCTTTTCTTGGGGAGAGGGTTCCGCTGATGGTTCGAGAAAGTTTTCTTTTCATCACACATTTCATCACGAACCATAAAAAAAATTACTGAACAATTTTACCAACGTGGCTGATAGTCGTTAAGTCCACTCATACCCTACGTCTTTTTGAGGCGTACAATTAAGGTGAAATTTTGATAAATGTCAGTGCGGTCCCTCCTCAGTGGCGTAACTACGGGGGCCACGCCCCCCCCCCCGAATGCCTGTTACCCTGGGAGCCCCCCCCCATTTGGAATCCATAAACAACTTCTGTTGCAGCTCATTGTCCTTTGGTGCCCCCTTGAAAAAAAATGTGTGCACCCCCGGGTGCCCCGGGCCCGCACATAATAACCCAAGTTGTGTCACTCCCTCCTGTTGCCTTTGCAAACCAGTGTTAGAATGCCGATTTGTCGGTTTTATGCTGCTGTAGCTACGTTAATTAGTGTTATTTTCAGCAGTATCACAACACGCAGTGAGTTTTATAATTGATAAGATGCACTGTGTTCAACCATAGCGAGCTTTTTAGCTGGAGTTCATCAGATCAATATGAAATTGTTCAGCCGCATGGTAAACCAATCAGATTCGTGGTTGCTCGGTTGTTCGATCTTGGCCTTTGTGGACATGTCCTTGCCTGAGCTTGCAATTTATTTTAATTCCAATTGCGGTAGATGCTTGTCGCTAAAAGGCACATCGAGGATGGGTTCTCACTGGAGGAATTTAGGTTTTTGCGAATGTACAGTTAAGCGCAAATATATTCATGTCCATTCCAACTTATTCGGCTAAGATAGAATTTACAGCCAAAAGACCATAGAGTCGACAACCAAAAGCTTAGATCTTTGCCCAGAAAATGCTAGTTTTTGTGTGCCTGGGTTGACCATCAGTCCGGTTTAAATGTTTTAACAAAATAGCAAACTGCCACATGTTTCAAACGGTATGAATAATGTTGGGCTTACGTGTTAATATCCTGTGTAAATAAGTGTAAGTGTAAATATACTTGGGGCTTTTTTTTCAATGGAGGGCCAGCACACGATTTGGAAATGCTACATTTCGGTGAGTGTGCTCTGATTCTTTCCGGAAGAAAATTTATGCAAAAAAAACTGGCAATGACTATATTATTGCCCGACTCTGTATTGTCATCAACAACTATAATAATTATAGTCAAAGATGTATTGGTATCATGACATTTCTTGTCTTTACACGGCATGATTGGTGAATTTTTTTCATTGCGAAAGCAGCTCCTAATCTTGGTGCACAATACCAACACCAGAATGATCATGCGACGGAATACGAAACGATATGGCGGATACACGGTGTAATCGTGCAGTGAACCGAGAACTACTACGAACTGTCAAATTTCATCAGCGTTCATTATGCGCGGTGTAAATCGTTTCCCTGGTGACGGTTTTCATGGCATCGTGGCGAGTGACGAGTTCCCGTAATAATTATGCGGAACGCCAGCGGCCAAATGTTATGCACATCAGAAAAAACAAGCGGCGCGAGGATGTGTATGAGAAATGTGATGTTGCTGTCGCGGCTTTGTGGGCGCGTAAGCTAAGCTGCATATCAAATCACATCAAACATATGAAAGCTTTTGAAATCATTTCCGGGTATTTCTACTCTACCACTCAACAGTAGCTTAAGAAAAGGAAGAAAACGAACAAACAGAACAAAACAACAACAAAAACTCTAAACAAGATACTTTTCGATGCACGGATCACTCTCCTGTCCTAGTCCAACGTAACAGATTTGCCACGAAGCAGATGTCATTTTAGGGAGAACTTTTACCCAGATAACACCGCGATGTTCCTCTCCCGTCGGCAATTTTATAGAATCGAAGGATGACAAATGCCTGCAATATTGTCAACCACGTTATTCTCTCCACTTTCCCAAGATCACATAAAACAATGTGCTGCCTAGCCTTGGCGTCCATCCCGACCATCGTATTTACGCCTGGACCTCTGTTACCCGACCGGGATAATATTATCGCTACAACCCCCCCCCCCGCCCCACGCTCACACAGGGATCGATGGACTTTATAGACGCGAGACCGCGCTGGTGTAAGGCTTGCGCCAAGATATGCACCTGCCTGTGACGTCACAACTTGCCAACTCGATCGGACCTTTACAACGGTACGGCAATTCCTGTAATTGAACGTGAGGCACCTCAAGCAAAGAAAACATGACGGGGGAAACTTTCCCGTGTTGGAAGTACTCCATGGGAGGTGAAAGTGGGAGTGAACCCTTATACGTCCTTGTTCAATGCTCTTACCACCATTACGAGTTTTAATGGCTGTGCCATGTAAACGCGTGCATTCTGTTGATTCAAGGGGAATGCTGAGCTCAGTATTGTTCGTTCTTCTTTTTCTTTTTTTTGGGTTTGATTTATGATATTTTTCCGAGAGAGATGCAAGAATTAATGAGACGAGTTATTTCTATTTTGCGCGTTTTTTTCTGTGATAAGTTTGACTTCCCTAACTTAGTAGTCCACTTTGTGACACGAGTCTCCAGATTGCATGTGTCGCGACTTCCAACACGACCAGTTAAGTCTCCTGCATTGAAGGCACAAAAAGATGCAACGCTGATTTGCTTGAGATATTCAAACGTCCGTTGGGCTCGTGTGTAACTTGCCTATACCCAGAGCCTAACTGGTGTTAAAGTGAATCATTGTTCATGTACATTTCGTTTGTTAAGCCCCGGAGTTATAGGGACTGCATGAATTAAGAAATAACCGTAAAGTAACATCTTGAATGGAGTGTTAGAGGCAAAAAGAGAAGGGCAGGGCCGGTTGCAGTAACATCACTTTAATTTACCTTTTTTTGGACCTCAGCATACAAATCTGAGCAAGGAATCTGTCAAGGCTCGTCCCCGCTGGTTCATCGACCTTGTTCAAAGTTCAACTATTTATTAGTTTTAAATTTAAAAAAACGTAAATGCAACATGAAGATCTCGTCAAAAAAATTGGTCTACGTAGGCTGTATTTGTGCTCCTTCAATGATAACGACAGTGCTTCAAAGATTTGTTGTACTTTGTTTTTTGCAAACATTTTATCAATTGACCACTTCGTACGGCCCACAAGCAATTCTGTCTTTAGCCATAGTGTCGACTTCTAAACGCCTTGTCGTGGACGTTAGGATGGAGGTTTTAATCTGAGAGATTACTTTGCGTAAGCCCTGACTTCAGATATATCAGTCGGAGCAGCTCAGGAAGAATTTTAACCGTTTGACGACGGTTATGTAAGGTCAATGAACATACGCAAAAGAGGACTCGGCCTGGCAATGATCCTTGGACAACTGCCTACTCTACTCTAAAAATATATGTAAAAATCGGTCCAGCCATTTACCCTCAACTATTTATGGACATACATGTACTGTTTTAAATTGTGCTACCTTTTGCTTCCTTTTCAAAGGTTAATTGTTATAGTTTCGAAGGATTAGGGGTCAATTCCATTACACTTTGGACGTTTAATATTACTGAAATTACAGCGTTGTGGATTTAACTTTCGTATCCACCCTGTATTACGCATTAGCGCAGTGTTACACTGAGGCATTTTGGTTTCACAGAGCTATGCATTGCGTAAACCCAAATAAAGATCATTGTCCGTTTAAACTCAGGCAGACTTTGCGTTCCTCTAAAATAGGCTGGTCTCCACAATCTAGACTACATCATGGTCCGGTGACATTCCCAGTTTGCCTGGGGGAACGGGCATAGATTGCCGCCTACGCAAACGGCATTGATGCTGCTCAAAATGCACGTCAGCCGCACGCACCTCTTTTTCCGCGGCCGTGTCTTGCATGAATTTGTGGGAACCGAACCCATCTAACACGGCTCTTAAACCGCCATCAACCGTCCGTTGTTTCCGGTGGAATGATCGTCGTCAAAAAAAAACAGAATCAAGACCAGGATTCGTGCGTCCAGAACTCTCCCGTGTGGCACCGTGCACTGTCATTTCGTGGCGAACTTGATAGGTTAATACCAAAGGATGAGTTGTTCTTTACGGTCGATTGTAGGTCGACTAACGCAGGGCAGCCGTCAAAATGGGTCAGATCTACCCTTCCCCGTAACATACGGAAGCCCTTGTGACACATCATGGATTCGGTAGAACAACGTGAAAAGGTGACAGAATCGTCAAGCAGGTTGACTAAAACGGACACAGTAAAAACACTAATTAATGACAAAAGGAAAAACACAAACTAAAAACAGGATAATAGTGCCAGAATAAGAAGTTTGCAAGCAAAGAAGGTTTTCTGAAAGGAGCAAATCAACTTTGTTTCTAAAATAATGTCGTTCTCTGTCACTTTCCATGTTCATGATGGTTTGTAAGTCAGGCACCGAATGTTTTCAAACGATTGTTAACCTAACTGAACTGGCAGACGATGGATGACCTGTATTTCCATACTGTAGGTAAAGTTTTCGCGGGTGTCCTTGCGGAGTTTAGAGAAAAAGGTCGTGGTATTTCTCACACATATGCAACACATACGTTATAACGAACACCGCAAAATAGATAAGATAATATGTCTTTCGTCATATGACCACAGACCAGAGAAGGATCGACTTGTGGTACCCCCAAAATACACGATCTAGGTACGTACATGCATTTACGTGACAATTCAGGCACTATTTAATTCAATGATATGAAGCGCATTGTGAATTTATGCCACTTGACATGATTTGAATGTTGAAAACGTTACCGGTGCATTGATAACATGAGGTTTTTTTCTATTCACAATGAAGAATGTGCTTGTATAATTTCACCATTTCTATAGAAACGGAGTTTGTACACGAATCTAACTCGAGTCGCAAGTTTTGTCTCGACTCGACTCCGGTGCAAAAGGTTACTGACTCGATATGATCCACTTCGTGCAAATAGACTTGACTCTAAAATCCAACAATTCGTTTCTGAGGAAAAGGTAGAAATTAATGCGGCACACTAATCTCACTCGACTGTCTCTAACTGTACATTTTCAGGGACCTCGAGGACGATTTCTCAAACTATGCCGCCTCCGTCCTCCAACGAGCGTCCAACGCCGCCACTACGGAACCCGAGGCGGGCGCAGGAGCCAAACAGGGTGACCTCTGTCCCATATGCCACGTGACCGAGCTGGTACCCGACCCCCAGCCCGGCTCCGCACAGGAGGGGCAGCCGTGCGGGGACTGCGATCGGGTAGTCTGCCTCCAGTGTGGATTTTACGCACCAGCGATAATGTCCGATGTAAGTCACACTTTGTTTTCCCTGGTGTGAAGCCCTTTTTAAACCTTATTTTTCCTTTGTCATAATACATGTAATTATGTTTCATTCTTGCGTAGGCCTATAAAAATATCGACATGCTGGGAAGGTGTAAAATACGCGGATCTACCATTTGTGGTAATCATATCCATGAGTCGATTCCATTTATTGCATGAACTGTGGTATCCACTTCCACTGTTTTTATAACTTTCCCGTGAAGTATTTATTTCACGATAGCCATCCATTTTCCATGGGCGCCTGAGTGAAGTAGCTAGGACTTGCAACAAGAACAGATTGATGTCAAGAGTCTTCGGAGTATCCCCAGAGCCCTTGAAATATGCTTTTAATATGCCCATGCTTGGAATGCATTAATATTTGAAATACGTGTGCAAGCCGTAAAGGACAAATGAATGACTTGATGTGAGGGGTTTTAATTAGGCACACGCAGTCAACGAGAGTACGCCAATTCTCACAATGTTGTCTCCAGTTTAATGTGGAAACAGCACCTTCTTTGGGTTCATAACTGTGGCATCGGTAATTTTTGGCGACTGTGTTTGTCCGGGAACCATGGCGTCACTAACAGAGGCAGGTGCCTGTCAATTCAAAGGACAAAGATAGATTCGCGAAGCTTTCACAAATCATGACGGTGCGCCGCGTATATTGACCTGACAACTAATGGAGTTTTTGTCAGATTCTTCAACAATTTCACTGTAACCGAAACCAAAAGAAACAATAACACCAGACTTCCAACACTCAAATTCAGGTTCCCCTGGCCCACTCAAAGAAAACAGATCTGCGTTGGATTAATATTGTTACTGAATACCCGAACGAACGCTTGAGTTGGCGCCGGACATGATCGCCTTAATTGACAATATGTCCACCTGCACGCATCGACCAAGGCTAATTTACATCAAGAAGCTTGAACAAGTGCAAGTCCACACGTAATGTTTGTGAAATGATGTGGAGCTGTCTGCTGGGATGTATTCGCTACACGTTACTGCATGCCACGCGCTTCATTTTCGTATCACTGTTGTGTGACTTAGCCATATGTCGTCTTAGATAGGTTTGACATGGATATATTTTTGGAATGATTTTTGAAATAATCTTAAATCATTATGGTGCCTTGAGATTCCGAGAACTTGAAACCCGCCCAGATCACCCCGGCATCTTCCCTCTGGAGTCTTAAACGGATTCACATAGCCCTCATATAGTAATGAAAAAAAGATGTGTGTTATTCGTCAAGTGCTAATTTTGTCTTCTTTTCATTTCACCTTGTCCTGATAGCAAATTATGTCCTGTTATTTTTGTTACTATATTTACTGCACGCGAGTAGTCGCTTTTTCAGGATCAATCAAAACGCTGCGCAATTTTTTTTAAAAATTGGACAGGTATGCCTGATATGAAATGTTGGCAGTATGTGATGTTCGCCCCCAGACTAGAGCGAGAGACGTTTTACCTATTGAGACACTGTGCGTTTTCATGTGCGAAATCGGGAAACAGTGTGCCCCGGGAACGATCGGGTAATTCAGCCTTATTGACTGCAGTGGTACACTGCAAGCGATGTCATGTCTTAGATTAGGGGTGGCTCCTTTGCTCAAGGAGTGACGGGAAGATGGTTTACTATAGTAAGCCTGGTAAGAACTGGTAACTCGTACCATTTCCGAATTGGAAAGTGAAATGATTGCTACACACTGATAACCGTCTATAGTGTGAGATACAGACAGATATTCAGCCTGGAGCTGTGCTCCTGAATTGCATATTGTCCTGCACGTAAATTTCCATGGGTTTTATTACCTGGACAAACATCCAGATGTCGCTCTACAGAACCGTCAAAGAGGATCGTGTAGGATGATCCCCGCCTCACCCCCTTCCAAAAAACCCTATTATCAACCAAAAGTAGCTTACATTTTAGCCAAACATGAATGTCTGGAGTTTTTTTTATATCAAATTTAGACTTGGGGTATAAGCGTTTCCAAACTGAAGACTTCATTTAAATTTGATGATGAAAAGTGCTTTTTGTTCTGTCCACTGGGATTTACCAGAGCAAATAAACGGCTTTTGTTAAAGCTCTTTAATACCCTTACACATGGGATTATTGGAAAGGCCTTCAAATGAGGATACTGAACCTGAACGGAGGTCTGCTGTGTTAAAACCTCTTGTATTTTGCACAAGCAGACAGACTCCTGAAATGGTTCAAAGTGGTTATACTGCAAGAGAAAATAAGATCAGCATCTTGTCACAAGTTGACTGAGGTAAATTTTCACAGGCTCAGCTGAAACTGCTTTAATTGCACTCTGAAACTGCACAAACAATACAGGCGTTTCACAATAGTGCGCCTCCAAGAGTTTGCAACGCGTTGACCAATCACAGCGCGCAAGACCTGTCGACCCAATGCGCGTTTGGTCAACGCGTTGCAAACTCTTGGAGGCGCACGTGAATCGCCCGTGATAACAACAATTGCCTTCGGAAATAACATTGGTTTCATCAAGTTCAGAGCTCGGATGCAGTTGAAAGAAGTAAGGAACCCAAACACTTGTGTGATAATTTAGAATTTGAATTCACTGACTTCGTGCACTTGCAAGATACACTGTATAAACGTGCAATGGACGCAGCAAAAATGAGTTGTAATTGAAAGCATCTCTGCAAGACATCTCAAATTTTAATCAAGTCCTCAGTTTTGAAAAGATAAAAACTCGCAGCTTTAATTTGATGCCAAAAGCAATCATTTCTGACGATTGTTTCGTGGTGAAATAAATGTTACTTTTAGGGGGCTTTTTCCGGGGAGGGTTACCCTGTATTGTCTGGTAATCCGAATACGGTGAGCTTCTCCCTTGCATTCAAATGTTTAATTTTTAAGACAAAAAGATGCCATATTCGTACAGTTTTTCGTTGATCTGAAATTACTCAGCCCTGAATTCGATGTCCACGGGGCGACTGGTATCAGACATGGCAGAATCTGTTTTACTTATATTGCATCCTCGGAGCGTCCTCAACTACTTCCTTTGTAGGTCACCTGAATTTTTTTACATTTTATCACATACAAATGAGGTGAAAAAACACGAAATAATGTCAACCAATCTGTTGGAATGTAAAATACTTGGCAGCAGGAACTTCTAATTTTATACTCTGTGGGGCAGTTCCCGCGTCATGGTCATAATACAGGCGACGGCTCTTGCAATACCTAAACACGTAATATGGCTGCGCTCATATTACTGTGCCATAGACTGGGTTAGGACTTGCGCGCACAAGTTATGGAAGCGGTTGCAGTCATCTCCCAAAAACCCGTGTGTTACATCTAGCCGTACCGAGGCAAATCAAGACACATTGCACCTTCCCACATTTCCAAGTCATTTACAAATCCAGTCTGAATAATTATGCCAACATTATTGTACACACGTTTCAACATTTATTCATTACAGTGTGACTGCTGTCATGAGAATATGCAAGAGTGTGTGCCCAGTATGCGGATGCTGTTTGTGCTATAAAATTATGTATTAAAACTATTTTTCAAGACCGTAAATATGCCTACTTTACTTGTGCAACCCATTTTTTTCCCTTTTGTCTCGTTGACCGGTGACAGCGCCCACAGTTTATAGCGGAAATTTAACACAAAGTGGCAGCCATCTTTTAAAAAAAAGGGAAAAGGAGAAGCGTCTCATTTTTCCCCTTTTAACGCGGATGCTATAGATTTTTTTCTTTACTAAGCCTAATAACGGAGACCTGCAACAGTTAATTTTACCCGGCCCAAATTTGATTCTCAGAAACCCATTTCAATATGATTCAGTTGTTGGCACAGGGCGGTGATTCTGTTTCCTGACTTGAAATAAATACCACTCACTGGTTGCCAAGCGCAGCCATGGCGAGACTTAGGCTCGGTAGAATTGAACGAAATTGTCCTACCCTGATAATTTTTGCCATTGTCGATACAAGAAATCAGCCCCTTTCATACCTCTTTAACTTTTCGTGTGGTGTTGTTCATGGCATTCACATTATCATGCATTAAAATTTGGGATTCGTTCTTTCCCTTAAACTTTAAAGACCTTGCTTCGCCCTTGGACGATTTCATGTAGATACCTCTCTGTAATTCCTGACTGCGGGCGTTTAAAGTCTGCACAATCCAAGGGAGGATCTGGTTAATAAGGGCGCAAGAAATTAGCACGCTCCAGTGAAGTCTCCGGCATAATTAGAGTCTATCACGGTCTACCGATTCTCTTCGCGCAGGCATATTCAATGTTCACACGTCCTCTCCAATCGATTGAGGTAGTCGACTACCAGCGTAAAGCGACCAGTGCCCCCACCAACCGAGGGACCCTAATTAGGCCGGTTGGCTAACGTAGCTGTGTGCAAATATCGATCGGCGTCGACATTACAGCCCTGCGATATTGACCACCTCAATATGCATGTGACCATTTTGCTGTGATCTATTTGAAAAACAGCTGTGCGGTAATGAATGTGTGGACAGTTTTAGGCTTTGCAAGGGACATTACTCCAGAGGTATTTAAAGGGTGCTTGGGAGTCAACATTTCCAATGATTTTGGATTAATTTGAGAATCCCATTAAATGTTAACAGGCCTTGGCTTGCAATGGTATAAAAATTGATGGACATCCCTGTAAGCACTCTTGCGGGTTCATTGATGCTATACCCTTTAACCTGAAAAGTGGTTGACAACGTGAAAGCATGCTAAGCAAACGGTCGTAGCCTGAAATTGATTTGTGTACATTTTTGGCCATGTTTCCTACCCTTCTGCAATGCAATCGTCTATGACATGGAGGTCACAGTGCAGTGAAAAGTAACTAGGCCTATATAACAACCTATCTGTCCCTTAAGGGAGCCCTGCACAGCAAGGCTTCTGGATCAGGCGCTTGGTATAGCTAGTGTCTCCTGATGAAGCCAGCTTGACACCTGCAACAGCTGCCCAATGTCACAAAAGCTCTTCAGGCTTAACATCATTTTTATGAAGCCTGCGTGCCAGCACAGTGCTCAG